GTTAATTTCAACTTGTGTAACAAAATCTACTATGCACCCACTTAGATTATTTACAATTATTACTACTTAGAATTTATCTGTATCTTAACAATAATGAACAGAAAATTGGTTTGACATATACAGGTGCATCTCAATAAATTAGAATGTCGTGGAAAAGTTCATTTATTTCAGTAATTCAACTCAAATTGTGAAACTCGTGTATTAAATAAATTCAATGCACACAGACTGAAGTAGTTTAAGTCTTTGGTTCTTTTAATTGTGATGATTTTGGCTCACATTTAACAAAAACCCACCAACTCACTATCTCAACAAATTAGAATACTCCATAAGACCAATAAAAAAAAACATTTTTAATGAATTGTTGGCCTTTACAATGAGAGGCATGAGAGAGAGAATTTAAGTAATCTAATGTAAACAGGATCAAAACATAAAATAAAGCAACATTCTAAAATGAGTCAAATTCTTTTTAATCTATTAAACAGCGAAACAGGGCAGTTGTGGTCTAACGGTTAGAGAGTTGGACTTGTAACCTGAAGGTTGTTGTGGGTTTGAGTCTTGGTACCAGCTTGTACGTGACTGAGGTGCCCTTGATCAAGGCACCTAACCTCCAATTCCTCCCTGGCTGCAGCAGCAAAGCTCACTATTATTGTGCTCTAAGAGTATTATTAGCCCAGTGATACAAAACATGAAACATGTCATACAAAAACCCGAAGCTCTTTTCCACTTAGATTTTTTCTAGTGAACACCACATCAAAACCACTATCTATCCATTCCTGTTGAGGCCTGTCATAAAACTTCAAAGACACTTGTGTGGTTAGTTTTATACACATAGTCTTAAAGCACCGTAATTAACTAGCATTTTAATTTACATTTTAATTAGTATTATTTTTTTCCCAGAAAATGAAAATTAATTTTAATATGAAAAAAATATTACAAATACGTGAATAAAATGAATTTCGAGTTCATGAGCACAATAAAATAAACTTGTGCCTTTGTCCACCACAGCAAAATTCAAAATAGACTATGATGAACAATGTGCTGAATATGTTTTGCATTTTCATGTATTTTTTTGGTCATTAACCTGGATTTCAGATGTTTTTGAATGTGCCAGAGGGAGGAGTCAAAGGAACCTCTTCAAACAAACTGTGTAGTGTAGATCAAGTGCACTTGCTCACTAGAGTATATACAGTCACTCTGTCACAGACTAGATCAGGGGTGAGCATAAGATCTGGATTTATATTAGACTTAATTTTTAAAGCAAGAAAGATGACAGACTGGATAAAACAAACTATCATTGTTTTCCTATATGTCTGGGGTAAGTAACATTTTTTGTGAGTAATTCTTTTTAATACTCTTAAATACTCTTTGTAATACTACAAAGTTATTTTGAATGTTTATGATATTTCTTTGCTGATGTTGTTCATGATTTGAATCTACAGGAATAGAATCACAGGACAGTGTTGAGCAGAAAACAAGAGTTCAGACTGTTTATGAAGGTGGAACTGTAATAATCAACTGCACATATCAAACACAGCTCACCCCGACTCTCTTTTGGTACCAGCAAAAAGTAAACAGAGTTCCTAAATATATGCTTCAAAGAGTTGGTAAGACTGGAGTTGAAGATGAAGAGTTCAAAGACAGATTTAATGCACATATCGACACATCTTCAAAATCAGTTCCTCTGACAATCCAGGATGTGTGTGTGTCTGACTCTGCTGTATACTACTGTGCTCTGAAGCCCACAGTGAGAAAACTCAAGTCAAACCACATACAAAAACACAGATGTGTTCGTTTCTTTACAGTAAACATGTCTGAAATGTAAAATCTATAATAAAGTTATACTGAAGATAACACAGTCAAATGAACTATAATTCTCATTGTGCAATCAATGTAATATTATCCATCCATTCTCCAATCTGCTTATCCTCTGTAGGATGGCAGCAATTTTATGTTATTTTGATATTAATTTTATTTAATTGCACGATTTCAACTTTGAATTATGTAAATGTGTTTTCTTGATGTAAAGGATTTTCACAGCATAACTGTCTTGCTAACATGTGAACCACTGGATTATGATGCATGATGGAAATATAAACATGTGTTGCATTTGATTAAAGAATTACCAAATTAGAATTTATCTTTAATTTAACACTGATGGACACATAAATGTGTTTCACATGATGCTACACTGTTGTGAGTTGGGCCCAAAATGACATTCAAAATGTTTCTGACTCTGATGGAGAAAAAAACTCTAAAACACTAAACACTAAAACATCTGGTTATTCTGTATTTCTTTGGTGTGGTTTATTTTGCTATTCAGGTACTTGTCTTTCACTTCAGAATTTTTATGTTATTTATTTTTATTATTGTACAGCACATTGGTCAATGGACTGTTGTTTTAATGCTGCTTTATAAATAAACTAAACTAAACCAAACTGAAAACTGTTATTCTTATAAGGACAATCATATTCCCAAAATAAGGATCCAAGATTAATTTTGGTTTATTTGTTTGGTACAGTTGTAAAAATTGTTCATGTGCTTAGATCTTTCTTTCTCTTTCTTTTTCAGATCTTTCTTTCTCTTTTCAACGTCTGAATTGAGCTATACTATGAGGGAGGAGGGACTCAGTGTTCATATCGTGTCTGACAGAGACTGTGGTTGAATCGATTCAGTCTGACTCTTCTCAGAGTGAACTCTTGTATAATGGATCTTCATTCAGTTATTCTGCTCTGTGTCTCAGCTCAGTATGATCCCTATGAAGCTGTTCTTTAACACCTGTAATTCAGTCAACTGTCAAACTATAAAACATTTCATATATTCCGCATTTGCAATAAATAATGCAGGTTGATGTATGCCACAGGATGGCAGTGTTCACACACTTTCACATGGAGATATTGTTCCTATCCTATATGAGAAATAGTCATACTACAAAATTATGTTAAACTTTTATATTGTACAAATTATACTGAAAATATACTTACATAACAGAAAATATATAAATCAAGAAATCCCATATTCTTCAGGTTACTTAACATTTCCATGCTAATAATAAAGAGTAAAAAAAAAAAATGCAGGCATCAAATATTTGTGCCTTTACAACCTTAATAAACTCAGAAATGTAATGTATATTGGTGTAATGTGTACAGTATATTTCACTGACTTCTTCATACTGGCACTTATTGGGTTTATTTTTTTTTTTGGAATAATAATGCTCTTTTTAAAGAAATACTCCATTGCATACACTCTGTGCTCCATCATCACCATTATCATGGTTTGTGCACAGTGAGGAAGCTGAAGTCCATCAAAAATGGTTTAATTAACATGCTTCTGATATTGTTTTTGATGTAGGCTAAACCCCCATGTAAAACTTTTTATATACAATGTTCTTTAAATCGCTTATACAATAGCGTAGTTATCTAACACAGTTAAATGACAGTCATAAACAGCAGAAGGAAGTTCAGAGAGCAGGAAGTTCCTGTGTGTGTTTCTGACTGATCTGGAGTGACTTACAGCTCAGAGCACTGAGAGCCTCAACAGAGAACTGAACTGATCTGATTGAACATGGACAGATGCATTATACTGATTCTCACTGTGGGAACAGGTATATTATTTACTGAGCAGCTGACAAAAATATTTATGTACATAAAAAGGCTATATTGATATTATTTTGGTCATTTCTATTTTGTAAAACATGCTGTGACATGTTTTTCCAATATTATTTTGACAACTTTGCTTTCACAAATCAAAAATCTGTTATATTTGTGCTTACTGTTGACAGGTTTGGTGGCTGGAGACAACATCGAGCCAGATAAAGGGACAGAAAAAAACTCTAGAGAAGGAGAAATGGTCAAGCTGAGCTGCTCATATAGTTCAAGTAGTGAATATGTTGTGCTTTACTGGTACAGACAGTATCCCAACAGAGAACCTCAGTATTTATTACTCAAAGGAGCCCGATTACGTAATGATGATCACACCTCTGATGGTCGATTTAATTCGGATACAACACGCACATCCACTGAACTCACTATTACTGATGTACGTCTGTCAGATTCAGCTCTCTATTATTGTGCTCTAAGAGTAGTAGCCCAGTGATACAAAACACGAAACTTGTCTTACAAAAACCTGAAGCTCTTTTCACTTTGAAACTATCTACTGAAAACCACAATCAAAACCATGATCTATCCAGCCCTGAATGTAATAAAATATGTGGTAACACCTGTGTGAGTTATAATTAGACATAAAAACTTCCAAAAAGCACTGACAATGCAGTATTACATTCTTTGCGGTTCCTTTTATACACAAACGCATTCTAAAATATAATTTCTTAATCGCTTGTAATGCAGTAAAACAGGGAGCCAGTAAAGGGAAGTCACTTAAGTGAGATTTGTTGAAAGGGTGTTGAGATTTCTGTCTTTTTAAATATTAGGACTCTCAGCACTACTCCTGTTGAGTTCATGGCCCTGTTGCCTCTCCAACAGCATCCAGCCTATACTGATATATTATCGTTCAGTCTTTTGGGTTTATTTTCATGGCTTTGGCAGTGACATCGGAGCTTCTTCTCCCACTGACACACAGACTATTGTCATGCTCAAATCTAGTCCTCAACAAACCAAAGCCATCTGCATTATATATTATTCATTTAGCAAATGCTTTTACTCAAAGGGTCTTTGTCATTTATGTAATACAACAACATTCTTTGTGCTTTTTAGTCTTGCTGCAAGAAAGAATGATACATTATAAAAACATTTGTTTTTTTTATAGTACAGAAAGCAAAAAAAAAAAATATCAGAAAGGGACTTGTTGCATTAAGATTATTTCAGCTTTTGTCTTTGAGAAGGACCGTTTATAATTGAATGAAAACAATGTAATTTCAGAAGTTGGCCACTGTGTGGCATAATCTATGATGCTGATTTATGAAGTCCCTGCTATATGTGTATATCCTTTGCAAACATATTTGCACTGTTAGACTTCAGACTAATATTGCCTGCTGCACATAAACAATGCTAATCTGGCTGAGGAATTTACTTTTACTGGCAGTAGTTCTTGGTAAGTAATTAAATTAAGTCTAACATAGTCCATGATCATTATATAAGAATATACAGTATATCTGTGTTTTTTTCTTGACAGAGTGCAATACACAGGATTCTGTCAATCAGCCAACAAGAGTTCAAACAGCTTCTGAACATGAGATGGTTAAACTTCACTGCACTTACAGTACCAGTGATTCATACCCTTATCTTTACTGGTACCAACATAAAACCAATGGATTCCTAGTTTACATGCTCCGTAAACTCTCGACCGGATCAAGCAGCAGTGAAAAAGAATTTGAGGAAAGATTTCATGCAGATCTCAACAAATCCTCAAGTTCAGTTTCTCTGTCAATCCAGGATGTGCGTGTGTCTGACTCTGCTGTTTACCACTGTGCTCTGCAGCCCACAGTGACTGAAACACATACACATCCTGACAAGATCTAAGGGCTCTGAAACATACAGTTTTAACATGAGCATATTTTTTCAATGCTGTTAGCAGTGGGTGGAGTTTATTCACACTGTTGAGAGTGTGAGACAGAGACAAACAGTTGTTCAAATACTATATTTGCCATCACTGTCTCTCTGAAGACATCATGTTTCTCTTTAACTGGATAATAATTCAACTTTGCATGGGTAAGATATATTTTTTAAGCAATATGCTTATTATAAATGTCCCTTAAAATCCATTTAGTGTTGCATATGCAGTGAATAAATGTTTTTTTTTTTTGTTGCACAGGAAATTCTTTTGGTGACACAATACAACCATGGTTTCCAGAAAAACATGATTCTGATGGTGAAAATGTGACTCTGTCCTGTAACTACAGTCTCACTAGCGGCACTAGTGTTACTATCCAGTGGTATCGCCAGTATCCCGGAGCAAAACCAGAGTTTTTACTTTTTGTCACTGAATATTCTAGCAAATCTGTGCCTGAACTACGTCTATTTTCAGAAGCTAAAAAAGAAATCAAACGTGTGGATCTGGTGATCTTCTCTGCTGCTGTATCAGACTCTGCTCTGTACTACTGTGCCCTGCAGCCCACAGTGTCAGGAAACTCAGTAACAATGTGCAAAAACCTGATATACAGAATTGCATCTATTACACAAAATAGGTTTAGCAACAAGAACAAAACTGTAACAAAATACTAGTAATTTTAATACTGAAATCATCTGAGGTCTTTTTGAAGACCATTGGGATGCAAGTGCCAGTTGTATTTGGAATAACAGAACATGAGTCAGCATTGTGAGAGACATGAAAGTAAAGCCAACGTTAAAACACCACTGCTATCAATGATGTAAATATTAGGAAATATCACACTGCCACTGAATGCCGCAACTGACTGATCAAGTGTAGAGAGCGGTCAAGTCTTTATTCACTGCATGTTTTGGTGAATAAATAATATAGGCTAATCAAATGCATGAATGCATAGTGTATGCATATCCTAAGATTAATCATTGCACATGTAATAATAATTAAGTGATATACTGTAGTTTAATTTATACACAATATGCAGTCTTCTTCACAGAGGCTCCTCCTAACAGTCAGACCATGTGATATGAATTTACTGCTGCTTTATCAGATGCAGAAAGAGGAAGAGGATCACAACATCTCTGCATATTTTTTAAGAGTCTGCAATTTCAATTGTATATAATGGCGCTCTGGAAATTTAATATTGTGATCATAGTTTTATATATCTGGGGTGAGTAGTAAGATTAAATAACTATTCTTTTCAAATCTATTTAAAATGAATTTTCCTTATGTGTGTAATGTGCATATTTAGTCATATTATTTTAATTCAATTTCAGGTTGTAATTCTCAGTCTCAAGACAAAGTTGATCAGCACACAAGGATTCAATCTGCTTTTGAAGGTGATACTGTAACGATCGACTGTACATATGAGGCTACTTATACAGGCCCGACTCTCTTTTGGTACCAGCAGAAAGACAATGGAAATCCAAAACACATGTTAAATAAATTATCTAAATCTGGAAACAGTGAGGAAGAATTCAAGGAGAGATTTCATGCGAATCTCAGCAAAACTTCAGTTCCACTGACAATCCAGGATGTGCGTGTGTCTGACTCTGCTGTGTACTACTGTGCTCTGAGGCCCACAGTGACTGAAACACACTCAACACTCATACAAAAACTAAGGAATACACATTACAGGGGACTTACATTGCCAGGCCCCTTTGAAATCTGTATGCACAGAACATGAAGCTCAACAAAATTGGAATGACCGGCATTCACATATGATTATTTTCAGGTAGTTTCATTTAACACATTGTAATCAAGTTTAAATCCATTTCACAATTCCACAAATGATCCCCCAAATTTATTAAAAAATATTTTTAAAGTTTGCAGATTCTGCCTCAGCATAATAATAACGAATAGGGGACAAAATAAAAGAAAACATACTAAAACTAGATTTGAGGCAGATGTGGTGTAAATGCAGATATAGGATACAGGTCACTTTTAAAAGAAGGTGTAAGCAGGTCGTCAAAAAAATCGGATAGGCTATAGTCAAAAAATCAGATTTGGGCATCCAGACCTGCAGTGTAAATGCAGCCTAAATGTAATGTTTAATTTTAAACTATGTGCAGATGTGAGGGGGGCTTTGGCATCAAAGATGTGACTCTCACATTCAGCTCTTTACTATTGTACTAATTCTCAAATAATAAAATAATGATCATAGATCAATTTTCTATTTTCTGCTGTAATACAGGAGAAAACATTTGCGATTGTAACTGTTCCTCGGGTGTGAAATGTAAACAGAAAGGAGGGACTACACAGATCTGACAGTGAATGCGGTGCGCTGCACAATATCTTCTATAGTCTGGCATGTATTTATATATTATATGTACAGGGAGAAATGTGACCCTTAAATCTTGAATTACATGCAGACCCCTCTATTATATCTAGAACTATTTTGCCCATTCAGAGGAGCCACACCTTTGAGCATTTTTAAATGCAAATGCATGATTATTGTAGGTTGAAAAGTGTCAGTGTAAAATATATGTGGTAGAAATCACTCATTCACATGCACAAATGTGGTCAATAAACAATCAAGGTAATCATCTTCAGATCATTTACTACAAAGAATATAAAAAAATGGGTGCATGATACCCATTGGTTTATCCAGTAACTAAATATCTTTACAACACAGAGATGACTAGCTAGTTTCAAGCATGTGTCCTAAAACATTGTCAGGCTAATTCTAATTTGGTGAAAAATGGTTTAAAAAAAACATTTTTTATGCTATTTCAAACTTCATCCACAAGGGGTCAGCATCACCATCTCCATGTATGAGTATATCACGTGACAACACAAACCTTTAAAGAAGTACTCTGCGAGATGAACAGTTTTTGAGAGCACAGCTGATTGAATGTTTGTTTATAGATCAGCTATGTTTAGATGGGCTTTGATTTCCCTGTGTTGCATAGCACATTATGATGGTAAGCACATCTGTATACTTTAAAAGAAAATGATTTACTGACATTAAGCTTAATAAATGTTTAAGTTTACTTTGCTAATAATTCATGTTAATGACTTACTTTTTCCTATCTATTTTTCCAGTGTCCTCAGCACAGGACAGGATTGAACAGACTTCAAGAGAAATGACTGAAAGTGAAGGAGCTCAAGTTATTTTAATGTGTAATTATACTACTGCTTCTACAAGTCCGTTCCTCTTTTGGTACAAACAGCTACCAAACAGATCACCAACATTCATTCTGAATCAATATACCACTGAGCCTGATTTTACAAAGAAATATTCTGCAACACTGAACTCCACACCAAGAACATTTCCACTGATGATCAAGAACCTACATGTGTCTGACTCTGCGGTGTACTACTGTGCTCTGAGGCCCACAGTGACTGAAACACACTCAACACTCATACAAAAACTAAGGAATACACGTTACAGGGGACTTACATTGCCAGGCCCCTTTGAAATCTGTATGCACAGAACATGAAGCTCAACAAAATTGGAATGACCGGCATTCACATATGATTATTTTCAGGTAGTTTCATTTAACACATTGTAATCAAGTTTAAATCCATTTCACAATTCCACAAATTATCCCCCAAATTTATTAAAAAATATTTTAAAAGTTTGCAGATTCTGCCTCAGCATAATAATAACTAATAGGGGACAAAATAAAAGAAAACATACTAAAACTAGATTTGAGGCAGATGTGGTGTAAATGCAGATACAGGATACAGGTCACTTTTAAAAGAAGGTGTAAGCAGGTCGTCAAAAAAATCGGATAGGCTATAGTCAAAAAATCTGATTTGGGCATCCAGACCTGCAGTGTAAATGCAGCCTAAATGTAATGTTTAGTTTTAAACTATGTGCAGATGTGAGAGGGGCATTGGCATCAAAGAGGAGGAGTTTGGCATATTGATCCAAGATGACCTTGTTACATTTGCTAGACTGTCACAAAGACAGTCAAAAAAACTCCTGCTGCAGTGACACACATATGTACAATGATATTTCATTCAGTCATTTTGCTTTCTGCCTTGACATGTAAGTGCATTTGTGTATGTTTTGCATGCATTTGCATTTCTAATTTAACAATGTACATATATATATATATATATATATATATATTGTCAAATAATCTTATCTTACATGCTTAATTAATTTTTCATTGAAAATATAAACTTATTACATCCTTAAATACTGTACATTTTCCCCTGCTTTTACAATGTAGAATCCTATATCACAATGACAATGCAACATTACTATTTAATATAATTAACTAGTATTGTTTATTGTATGCTTAATTTCAAATCACTATAGTAAATCAATTTAATCATTATTTACAAATGATTATTATTTTTTTATCTCTCTCCCTCTTTTCCAGGTGTGAGTTTTGGAGATGAAATCACAGCAGACAGCACTGAGGAATCTGCTGCAGTGGGTTCAACTGTTACTTTATTCTGCAGTTATTCCTCTGCACAATCACTTCAATGGTACCGTCAGTATCCCGGATCAGCTCCTCAATTTCTTGTGCTTATAATAGAGAGTGTGAAAGACACTAAGACATCTGATGTAGATCCCAGATTCTTCACTAAGCTCAGAAAAGAAAAACAAGCTACAAAAGAAATCAAACATGTGGATCTGATCATCTCCTCTGCTGCTGTATCAGACTCTGCTCTGTACTACTGTGCTCTGAGGTCCACAGTGACAGGAAACACAAGAACACTGTACAAAAACCTGACACAGATGAAGGTGTACAACCAATTTCTTTCCATAATATAGGTACAGTATATTATAAATTCACACTGTATTAATATGAGATAAACTATAAAACAATATATAAACTATATAGTTGCAGCAGTGGTATGATAAATTATGCATATTTTTAAACTTATGAATGCTATTTGTTTGCACTCTCCTCTAGGATGTAAGTCACTGACTAAACATTGATTTAAATACAGTTCAACTTGCAATTTTTGTACAGTCACATTAAAGGGGTCATATGATACATGCAAAAATGCATTAAATTTTTCCCTAAATTCTGTGTTTTCCATTTGATTTCTTATGGATTGCGTGTTTTATGATTCAGTACAAATTTATCATAAAAAATGGTGTCTAGTGAAATGAATTAATAAAACTTTAACAATTTAACTAATCTTTTAAAATGTAATCAAATGAAACGTCTCAGGTTACGCATGTAACCATGGTTCCCTGAGAATAGGGAACGAGACGCTGCGTCCTCTAGAGGGCGCTTTGGTCACCGACGCTTTCCTAGCGTAGCTCTGGCAAGCAGAAGCCTCAATAGATAACTCTCTGTAGCGAGAGGAGGCCTGACGCTCGCAGTAATTAGCAGAGCTCTAGGAGCAGAGGCCTCAGCATGACAACTCTCTAAACGAGAGGAGGCCTAACTGCACTCCATACTCAGGACATCTTGTAAGGAGGCTCACAGAGAGCCTACAACTCACAGATCTTGTCCTAGCGAAGCTCTCGTGAGCGGAGGCCTCAGTAAATATCCCTCTGTAGCGAGAGGAGGCCTGACGACGCTCACAGTAAATAGCCGAGCTCTAGGAGCGGAGGCCTCAACATGATGACTCTCTAAATGAGAGGCCTAACTACACTCCACGCTCAGGACATCTTGTAAGGAGGCTCACATAGAGCCTACAACTCACAGATCCTGTCCTAGTGGAGCTCTCACGAGCGGAGGCCTCAATAAATAACCCTGTAAGGACATTAATTCTTTTGAGAGGGGAATCGAATCTTAAGATTCAAAATAAACCCTATTGAACTGATTCCAAATTTGATAGTTTACACCTTATCAACTGTTCGTCCAGCGAGACGTTAACATCAGTATATACAGTTCTGAATATGAGAGTTTACGGAGTTCTGAGGAAGTCCCAAAGTTCTAGTACTTGTTACTAGTTCTTAGATCGCAACAAGAAAACCACAAAAGCAGAGATTGGCTTATATTTACTGCTTAAGATCAATTCAGCATAAATTTTCCAGCTAGTAAGGAGACCTTGTTTTCTTCTTCTTTTGATTGGATTAAGTCTTATTACTGCTTTCGACGTCTCTTGAGAAGATAAGCAGAGTGGGACAGTAACTGCTCGAGACAATTGGGCACCATGTTGATCATTAATTAATTTTACGACCGCAGATGGCTGGGGAGGAGAATCTTTAGTTTTAGCGAGAGGAGGCCTGACGACGCTTGCAGTAATTAGCCGAGCTCTAGGAGCAGAGGCCTCAGCATGACGACTCTCTAAACGAGAGGAGGCCTAACTACACTCCATGCTCAGGACATCTTGTAAGGAGGCTCACATAGAGCCTACAACTCACCGACGCTGTCCTAGCGGAGCTTTGGCAAGCAGAGGCCTCAATAAATAATTCTCTGTAGCGAGAGGAGGCCTGACGACGCTTGCAGTAATTAGCCGAGCTCTAGGAGCAGAGGCCTCAGCATGACGACTCTCTAAACGAGAGGAGGCCTAACTACACTCCATGCTCAGGACATCTTGTAAGGAGGCTCACATAGAGCCTACAACTCACCGACGCTGTCCTAGCGGAGCTTTGGCAAGCAGAGGCCTCAATAAATAATTCTCTGTAGCGAGAGGAGGCCTGACGACGCTCGCAGTAATTGGCCGAGCTCTAAGAGCGGAGGCCTCCTCTCGTTTAAAGAGTCATCATGTTGAGGCCTAACTACACTCCATGCTCAGGACATCTTGTAAGGAGGCTCACATAGAGCCTACAACTCACAGATACTGTCCTAATGGAGCTCTCGCGAGCAGAGGCCTCAATAGATAACTCTCTGTAGCAAGACGAGTCCTGACGATGCTTGCAGTAATTAGCCGAGCTCTAGGAGCAGAGGCCTCAGCATGACGACTCTCTAAACAAGATGAGGCCTAACTACACTCCATGCTGAGGGCATCTTGTAGCTCCATAAATGCAGCCAAACAACCAAACAAGTGAAACACGGTCTGGATGTTAAGCTGAAAATCATCAAAATATATGCAATATAAAAGAATTGTGAATAACAGCTTGCAACGCATTAATTTTGTTGCAGACCCATAACGAACGCGTTGCTGTGGCAATGCGAGATTCGAGCCGCTCGATTCTATATTGCATAAGAGCTTCTACCCGCAAGAAGAAAAATGCGTTGCATTTTATGAATGAACGAGAGCTGACTGTGCGTACTCCACTCCCAAACAAACCACTCATAAATCGTGTGTATCCCCACACATGATATAGCGAGAGAAAAACAAGCAATCTAAAAAGCAGTATTAATGCTAACCATATCAACCTCCTCGGAGGAAGATAGCAGCAGCAAGCTCTCACTCGGAGGGGGAAGAGACCGCAGCGCGGGCTTCCGAACCCCGAGAGAGAGTGCTAGATCAGAGGTGAATGCATCCCGAAAAATTCGCTCTAAACATTCCACCCAAAAGCGCGTCCCACATCCCTCGAGAATAGGGACATCACAAACGGAGCTTCATTGAGAAAATGTCCCTTTCAATGCATGCATTCTGCTCCCTCAGGAGCTAAAACACGCTTGCTCCTAACTCATGAACAAACAGACATCTCCTGAAGACAAGAAAGAGGATGACGTAAGTCACAGGTGCCCTTTTATACTTTCGGCCGCACCAGTTATGACGTCATGGGCTGCCGCCTGCCAATGTCAAGTTCATTGTTGTGTTTCGACTCATGCTTCAGACACCGGTCATGCCGAAGGCGTTCCCCATAGCGCCCTCTAGAGGACGCAGCGTAGAGTTCCCTTTCGAAAGGGAAATCAATTTACAACAAAACATTGCATTTTTTTTTTATCAGACATGATGCTGCACAACAGAACTGTATAAATTATGTGACTCTCAGAGCAGCTCTGAAGACGAAGTGCATGTGTTCATGTCCTCATATATTAAGACGCAGACGCTGAAAACACTGCGAGTCATGTGTGTTTCAGTTTGTGTATCAGATGAAACTACTCCACGCATTCACACAGACACACAGAACATGCAGACTTATTAGCAAAATGCACTGACTGCTTGCTGTAACATTTATTTCTGTTGTGATTAATCCATAATCCGTAAAAATGTCCAGAGCTTATCATCATTATTAACATAAATTGTATCATAATATCGATATGATATCATTTATCGCCCGATGCTAATTTAGGCTATTTATAGAACGTGCTTGGCTGGCGACTCAGAGATAGGGATGGGCGATACCCCTTATTTTGTTTTCGATACGATACCGATATTTTTCAAGGC